TCGGAAGAGAGAGAGAGCAAATCGATGGGGAGAGAGCAACCAAATTGGAAGAGAGAGAGAGCAAATCGATGGGGAGAGAGCAACCAAAACGGAAGAGAGAGAGAGCAAATCGATGGGGAGAGAGTAACCAAATCAGAAGAGAGAGAGAGAGCAAATCGATGGGGAGAGAGAGCAAATCGGCGGCGGCGGAGACAGAGTCCAAATTGGAAGAGAGAGAGTGAGCAAACGGAGGGAGAGAGCAAACGGAGGAGAGAGAGAACGCAAATATCGGAGGAGAGAGAATGAAAACTGATAATGAGGAGAGAGAAATCGACACTGCTTTTTAGGAGAGAAATTATTATTTTTATTTATTTTAATTTTATTTGTTTTATAATATAAGGGTATAATGGAAATTGTACATATGAGAAGGGTATATGTGAAGGGGGTGTTTTTTTTTTCTGAGGGAAGGGTACCATGAAGTACAAGTAGCATTTTAAGGGCATTTTTGATAATGCCCCCATTTAGAAACAGGGAATCAAGCATACCCATACTTCATAGCATACCCTTCAAAAAAATAAATCTAAAAAAATAAAAGATGAAATGAGCAAAGTACATGTATATCCCTCAATTTTAAATGAAAGACGAAAAGGGGCATACTTTTTCGATTAAAAAATAGCTAACTTTTTAAAAATTAAAAAATAAACATTCTCTCTCCCTCGGTAAACTCCCACTCTCTCTTGCAACTCCATCTCTCTCTTGCAGCATTTCGAAAACTCTCTCTCTTGCGCTATTTCTCTCTTTCGATTTTCAGAAATTGAGGCTATTTTCCTTGCAATTTCGGTATCTCTCTTGCGATTTGTGTGAAAAATCAAACACCCATGGATCCAAGAACACATGTGCCTTCTGCTTCGTCTTCGTCTGCATCTCAGGCTGGTTCATCTTCGTCAATGTTGGACAAAGATCTTCCATTAGAAACGGTAGGTTTTTTGCATATTCTTCTCCGTTTTTTTCTTCTGTGACCTGATCCTGGAGTAAAATAATTAAACTTGTTGGATGGTTTGGGATTTCAAAATAGGAATTTAGAGTTTAGGAATTTCGAAATTGAAAATTAGAATTTTGGGATTTCTGAATATAAAATTAAGGTTTTTTTTTGTTTTGAAAAATATAATTGGGGTTTTAGGAATTCGAAATAGAAAGTTAGAGTGTAGGTGTGAGATTTCGGAATACCTTAGCAAGTTTAATAATTTCCTAAGGTGTAAGTTCATGTGAGTCACATGTCACATGCATGAGTCACAGAGATTTATATGGTAATAGTATAATATAACTCACAACATCGTACACGGATCACACGGATCACAGGTCACATGGGTCACGGGTCACATGGGTCATATAGCCACGGGTCCCAGGTCCCAGGTCACAAAGATCACAATGACGAACAATTATTTTATTTTGCAGCTTCCATTTGTCTACAAATTCGAAGACATTCAGTTTTTTCGAAGATCAATACGAAGTGTTATCCCTATGAGACGCTGAAGATGCTTAAAGAAGTTCTAACATAGGATGAATAGACGTACTTCGAGAAAGAATCACAGTTCTAACATCTATTTCACGCGCAATAGGAACCACAGTTAAAGATGGCGCCTGCGGGAGTTCTCATTAACCGCTCTGTTAAAGCGAAAGACGAGAATGAGTTGTGGTTCGTGCTCAATGGTGTGTCCGTGAGGTACTCGATCATTGAGCACGCACTTATATCTGGTTTGAACAAGGGAGCATAATTCATGTCGATATGCGATGAGACCATACCACTGATCCATGAAAAATTGGTTATCAATATATTTTGTAATGGTAAAATTGTGTACAACTAACCCGTTATTTATTGTGAACTCTTTCGTAGTTTGTAAACTCAGTTTTTATAAACTCTTTCGTATTTTGGATTTTACTTCTACTTTTACTTGGAAATGAGAAAGAAAAAAACATAAGTCCAATGGGTCACACGGGTCACATGGGTCACGGGTGAGTCACATGGATCACATGGGTCATATAGGTCGAATTTATCGAATTAGTGATTTGGCATGGTTATGCAGTGATTAATCATGGATTTTAACATCAATAACAACTTTAAAATCATGTTCGTTTCAATTTTCATATTCAAGTCACTCATGCAAATGTATTTCATAAGTGATACTAGTGTTTCATGATAACTTATGAACAAATTGTACTAATGTTCATACAACTCTTACTTATGTTAACGAATTTAACTTGAAGATACCATATTATCATTGTAAAACATCATATAAACCATTTAGCACTTTAAAATCGAGATTTGACCGTGTTTTATAAGTGCTACCGAGTCACGGGTCACAGGGGTCACATGGGTCACACAGTATAAAAATGTCTTCGGGTTACATAGGTCACGGGTGAGTCACACGGGTCACACAGTTCAAAACTTGTTTCTATCTTTTCAAGACTTTAATACAGTACTAGTGCAAAGAAAATTATCTTATTCAAATAGATTATCCTTCTGGAAAATGTATACAATCACATGGGTGACGAGAACTACATGAAATCATACAATCATATTATTTATGCAATATCTTTGTTTGTCCTTCTTTGAACGCTTTGTCCGCGGTTTGTCGGGGCCTAGAACCCAATTTTGTTTGGATCTATCGATTTTGTGTTTATCTTCCACAATCAGAGTTAATACCACGAGGTTTGCATCCCATGGATCGTCAATGATCCAATCACAACAATCAGGAAATCGGATAAATCGTTTCTTGATAAGCCAACCGTCATGTCTCCCGAGAAAGTATGGAGAGCATAAGTCCAATATAATATTGCCTCTGTCAGTCTTGGGGACTGCTGCGATTGCGTGACTGCATGAATACACTACAAAAAAAATGGTCATTTCCAACGGGTAAATCCGTTGGAAATGGACAAATTTCCGTTGGAAATTAACGTTTCCAACGGATTTCCAACGGATTTATCCGTTGGAATTTCGTCGTTAGAAATCGGTGTCCGTTGGAAAACCGTTGGAATTTTCAACGGAATTGCAACGAATTTTTCCGTTGGAAATTTCTAACGGATTTCCAACCGGCATCCGTTGGAATTTTCCAACGGATTTTCAACCGCAATCCGTTGGAATTTTCCAACGGAATTTTCAACCGCATTCC